GTAAATAGGGACAAACCCAGCAATTGGGTTGTTTTGACCCAGCGGTTGGGTTAAATGTTTAACCCAACCTTCGGAGTAGTAACCCAACCGCTGGGTCAAAACAACCCAATTGCTCGGTTTGTCCCTATTTACCCAGCACTGGGTTGTATTTAACCCAGCATTTTTTAGAGTGTACGTATAGTGACTTATAAAAGCCCACAGGGGCCCCTTTAAAAACCTGGGGTTTAAATAACAAAGAAACATTGTGTTGAACCCATAATTTCTATTTCCGTGTGAATAATCGGATGGAAGTACATAAGTGTAATTGATCTGTGAGTTTCTGTTTCTGAGATGTTCTTCTGTTGAAGCTCAAGATGCTCTTTGGATCGTCTCAGATGATGCTGGTGAACGTGATCATCAGGTTTTGTTCATACAGCTCCCACACATTCTCAGAGACCGAGATATTCTCGTATTATTATTATTATTTATTCAACTTTATTCTTCTTCAAAAAAGAAGATTTTTAAAGTATCTGTACAAATTTAGAATTTGCAGATGAAACAAAAGATGACAGATGAAATGACAAAACATCTACCATCTGAATTGGCAGATTTTGTTTTGTAATTGTTAACCTATTTTCATAATTGTTTACTGCTGTTTTAGAATAAAATGTTTTTTATTTTGAATCTTTTGGAATGAAAACACTTGAAGTGGGGTAAGGGAGTTTGGAATAAGGGATTTTTGGATGGTTATTTTTACTGTTATTTTAAACTAAAAGAAAAGAAAGAAAAAATATATTTTCGGTATTTGTGCAAAATTAGGATTTGCAGATGAAACAAAAATAGGTTCAAATGACAGATGAAATGACAAAACTGACGTCATTTGAATTGGCACATTTTTTTCTTTGTATCATTGCCTTTAAACATTTTGCAACTGCTGTTTTAGAATAAAATATTGCTTATTTTGTACCTTTTTATACAAATAATAAATCACATAAAATACATCCGGAAATCTCTTTTAAAACTAGATTCGATACAGTGGTATTTAGCAGATGTCGCGTTGGTCATACAAGACTGACTCGTGCATTTTTGCTGAAAGGTGAAGACCGTACTCAATGCATGTTCTGCAAGATTCCCCTTTCTGTAAAAACATATTTTATTGGACTGACCAGCTTTTAATGTATGTAGAAAACTCTTTTATGAAGTGAACTCACGTAAAGAGTTTAGTATAATTTTGCTAGAAAAAGTTTTAGAATTTTTATCATGTTAATGTAAAAAAAATCTTGTGTAATATATCTTGTGTTTGTTTGTTTGCTGGTTTTTATTGTATTGTTATTGTTCTTCTATTTTGCCATGAAAATAGCCTAAGATGCTGACATGGCATTAAATAAAAATATACTACTACTACTACTTAGGGCTGCTCGCAGCGATTATGACAAAAATCATAATTGTCGATTATTCCTTTGAAATTGTAATTGCGATTATTAATTTACGATTGAATTAATGATGTTTACACCTTTGTTTGAAGCAACTGCATGCCATATTTTTATATGAAAATAAACAAAACTGAAAAACTCTTACTGCTTTTCTATAGTATTAAGCCTCAAATATCAACTATACATCGGATTGGTTTCTCTTTAAATAAAAAGGTAAAAATATGCATGGTATTATAATGTTATACTAAAATTAAAACAATGGAAAAACCCTTAAGATAACATGTAGAAAGAAAAGCATGCAGAATAACATACGTGGACTTTAAATGATTGCTGCTTTGAACGATTACGTAATTGTGGCATCCGTAGTTGTAATTGCGATTAGAAATTCGATTAATTGTGCGGCCCTACTACTGTACCTTTTTAAATTAAAATACTTTAAACAAGGTGGAGTTTGGAGGAAAGGGGTTGATGTGGGTCGGTACTTTTGGTTCTATCATCCAAATGTAACAAAATGGTCATTCTGATATTTTGAAGTGCGATGGAAACAAATTGTATGAAGTAGAAAAATGCAAAGTAGAAGCATTTTCATTAGCGATCTCTGACTTTACACCCCATTGTACTTTATATCACCGAAGCAGAAGCTGACAGTGTGATTTAAAAAACATTTTTTTAAGTGATTGGCTTGAGGATTTGATCTGAAGCTTGTGAAATGTGTTTTGCGAGGAGCGTCGAGTATGTGTCTCTGCCTGCAGCCGCTGCTTTCTGAGCTGCTGTGGGTTTGGCTCTGTTCTGTCCTGGCTTGCTCCCTTTAAACCCTCCAAACACCAGCTGGTGTCGTAAGAGTCGTCCGTTAGTCCACAGATAACCTGAATGCAAACGTCTCCAGTATGTAAACAGCTCCTGCGCATGTTTGCATTTCCATCTCACATCATAAAGTGAATGATATATTAGACACAGGCCAGCAGGAAAACGAGTGACCGTTAACGTGGAAAACTGTGTGGATTTGTGTGAAAGAGGCCTGGATGTTTAGTGAATAAGAACGGAAGTGAAAAGCCTATGCAGACCCTGTGTCCTCATTTCGCCCACAGTCCCAGCGGACCTGAGCCCAGAGGAGCGCTCCGAGCTGGAGGAGATCCGGCGCAGGAAAGGAGCGCTGCTTCTGGAGATCCAGCGACTGAAAGAGGAGCTGAGACAAGCCATTATAGAGGTGGAGGGGCTGGAGAGCAGCACAGAGGGCAGGTTAGTCTCACATTTACCCGTTTTATTGATGGGAACCGGTTTGTGCTTCTGGTTGTTGCTCCAGTGTTTGCTTTATTTCGTTCTCCAATTTGCCTTCTCTAATAGACAACACTCAAATAAAAGCACACAGACGTTATCTCTCAGTTGCTGTGTATACAGTGCAGTCGTTGACATGAACTTGAACTCTACATGCTGTAGGTTTGTAGGACACTCAAAGTGAGTCCTTGTACTTCACCCCTCAAACGCGAAAACAGTATTGACCTCCTCTCTGTTTTGTTTTTTTTTGTAGTAAAACATTACAGAAGAGTCGGCATGTGGCCATGGGCAGGAAGAAATTCAACATGGATCCGAAAAAGGTAAGCCGTCCTGTTTAAAAAAAAAAAAAATTGAGCCATTGTTTACCAGCAATAATATCACAGGGTTGCATTTTAATATACAGTTATACAGTATATCCCTCTTATTTAGTTAACATTATTAACATTTACATTTTTTGCTAGGGGCATGTAAATTTATGAGCACAACTGTGTATATACCAAGCGGCAACCTCCCGCTCTCTCTCGTGATGCCAACAAAGAAGTGACTTAAACTGTAATTCATCGACTGGCCGCTAGAGGCTGGCTGCAAAAGGGAGTCAATCCCATAGACTCCCCATGTTAAAATGCCCAACTTTACAGCAGAAAAAAACATGTTTACAGCCTGGTTCAAAAAATTATTTTGGTTTATATAGCTAATTTTGCCCTTCATGACAACTGTGAGTTTCATTCAACAAATTTCATCCGTTTAAATTATATTAAGCCTTAAAGTTCTGCATAATTAAGGGCGTGGCCACTTGAGTGACAGGTGGGTTGCCGCTGCTGTCACCACCGTCGAGCTAGGTGGGCGTGGTTTCAGCAACCAGCTCCCACCTCTTTGCCCATTTTCGATTATCCGGGAGTGACGCGCGGTGACACGCTGCAAAGATGGCGACGGCCGCCTCCGCCCACTTTGAGCTTTAAAAACGCTCTTCGGAAACCTACGGGTGACATCACGGACACTACTAGGGCTGTCGCGATAACCGCATTATCGCAATACTATTGACGAGCAAACCGCAGAGGAATGCAAGAACCGCAGCAACCGCGATTTTTGCGTGTTTTATTTTTTTGTAAGGTTATGCCCTTCTCGTTTTACACTTCATGCATGTGGACTGAATATTAAACAAGTTAGTAATGATAACATAATGTGTACCATGCTGATTTGTACAGAAGCTCCGTAGATTTGCACTTAACAAGCCTAAACAGACAGTGAATGAGAGAGAGATCGACTGAGCGCGTGCGATTACTTGCGTCTGTCCTCCAGGCCGAGTCATATATATTTGTGAAAATAGGTTGTCATGTCCAAGGAAAGCGAAATCTCTGTCTAAGCATCGATGCATAACTGGTCAGCTGAGCCTTTTAAAGTGGCGCTCAAAGTTAAAATTATTTCAACAGCGTGTTTCATTACGTCTCTTTGATAGAATGAATCAGCGTTTTTGAACGTGTAGTTGAATGACAGCCACCACCTTGTGGCGCAACACTGTAACTGCACTGACTGACAGCCCGTCTAGAACGCGCGCAGGAGGAAATATCAATAGAAAGTCTCTTGTCCAGTCAGATTAGAA